ACCCAGAGAAGATGTCTACTAGTAGATGTCTAAGTGCCTGGCCTCACTTAATGTGTTTGTATTGTATTGCTCAGAAAGGGAAGGGGAAGATGGAAAGCTTAGAGTACTTTTGAGGGGTGCCTGGCTGGCTCAGTTGGTAGAGCCTGTGACTCTTGATCTCAGGATTATGAGTTTGAGCCCCATGTTGGGTGTAGAGTTTACTTAAAAAAGGAACAAAATCTTTTATTTATTTATTTATTTATTTACTTTATTTTTAAAGATTTAAAAAATTTATTTGACAGAGAGAGAGATCACAAGTAGGCAGAGAGGCAGGCAGAGAGAGAGGGAGAAGCAGGCTCCCTGCTGAGCAGAGAGCCTGATGTGGGGCTCGAGCCCAGGACCCTGAGATCATAACCTGAGCCGAAGGCAGAGGCTTTAACCCACTGAGCCACCCAGGCACCCCATAAACAAAATCTTTTAAAAAAGTACTTTTGATTTGATTTTGAGAAGGGCATGAAGAAGATAATTTGTTTGAGAAGTGATAAAGAGTTTGATGGTACATCCTTTCTGTTTAACCATACTCTTTTTTTTTTTTTTTTTTTTTACAAGGAGGGGGAAAGAGAGAGAGATCACAAGTAGGCAGAGAGGCAGGCAGAGAGAGAGAGGGGAGGAAGCAGGCTCCCTGCAGAGCAGAGAGCCTGATGCGGGGCTCGATCCCAGGACCCTGAGATCACGACCCGAGCCGAAGGCAGAGGCTTTAACCCACTGAGCCACCCAGGCGCCCCTAACCATACTCTTAAATTGTACGTAGTATCATGAAAAGGGGACATGTGATCATGTAACTTACCCATTTATTTGTTAAGGTAATTCATGTTTCCTCTGGAGATCTGATTGACAAGAAGTGACAGATTGCTGGGACCAGTATAAAGACTCAGATTTTAATGCCCTACTAGTTACTGTGATTCTGGAAGTTATTGCCCCGTAGCTCCTGTCCTGATTATAGGAAGTATGTTTGAGTATATATATAGTTTATGCATACATATACACACATATGCATAATGTATGCAGTTGACCCTTTAACAATAGAGGGATTAGGCATGTAAACCCTTGCACAGTCAAAAATCCATGTATAACTTTGGACTCCCCCAAAATTTAACTGCTGATAACTACTCTTGACTGGAAGCCTCACTGATAACATAAAACATCAGTTAACACATATTTTGTATGTTGTATGTATTAAATACTGTATTCCTATAATAAAGTAAGCTAGATAAAAGAAAATATTAAAATCACAAGGGAAAATATATTTATAGTAGTATACTGTATTTATTGAAAAGAAAGTCTGTATGTAAGTTGACCTACACAGTTCAAACCTGTGTTGTTCAAAGGTTGACTGCATGAGCGTGTGTGTGTGTGTGTGTGTGTGTGTGTGTGTGTGTGTATTTGAATATATACATCTTCACACAAAGATATGCTAAGGTTGACACACTGGGGAAGATGGGACATTGTGTTTGAATGAGCAGGACTCCATGACTACCCATAAGAATATTTGTCTTTTCTACACATGGGCTGGCCTCTTCATAGGGTGGACGTCATTGGCCATAGTCTTCTTATAAAGTTGCTTTTTGACTCTAAGTCAGAACTTTAGTAGTTGTTCCTGGTGACCCAGGAATTGAGTGACTTTTGCTCCTCATGCAGCAACTGTTGAGCCATCTGAATGAATCCGATTTTTCTAGAGAGGTAAGCCGCCTGGGCTTCTGGTAAGGAGAGTAATGCAGTCATGGCTATCACCTCAGCTGTCAGCTGAATTATGAATGGTCTTCCTAGACACTGTCTTACTGAGCAGCAGGCAGAAAAGGGAGGAAGGTAGACTGGGAGTCTGAGGGCTCTTCTCAGAAGTCCTTATACAGGGAGCATTTTTTTCCTTCCTGCCATCTCTTCAGCTCCCTATTTGGACACATGTCTAACCTTCAGCCATTACGCAAGCATCTTTTTTTCTGCGCTCTGCAGTGATTCTTGGGTTGAGGGCCCTTCCCCACTTTCTTCCCAAAGCTTAGATGAACCTGTGTCCCTGCTCAGTCCTACGCTTTTTGTGTTCCTTATTTTGATATGACTTAAAGATGCCAGCAGGGAGCATCACCGACTTTTGTTTTTTTCTGTCTTATTAAGTACCTGGGAAGGAAAGGTATTTCTCTCGAAGAACTCTGGTACTTGCATGTTATTAACAGGTCATGGAGGTCAGATGGGACAGAGACTGGATTCCTGTTTGAAGCGGAAGATCCCAAGGGAGGCTGTTATAGATTGAATTCAGAAACTTGTATAAATGTCAGGCATTTTTGTTAATGTGAGATGATTAGTTAACCCTCTGAGGTCTAAGACTGTAGATTCTTCATTGTAGTATCCCTAAAGCCTGAGACACAGTAGGAGGTCAGAAAACCTTCCAAGAATCTGAACAGATCTGTGGGCTTCCTAAGAACCATATTGGTAATGTGTCATTTATCTTGTTTGTTTTTTTTTTCATTTATCATGTTTGGAAGAATTACTTATTACTTGTCTGTTCTCCCCCTGATGGATGTTAAATTCCGTGAGATTAGTAGCGAGCACAGTATCTAGCAGCCCTTGGTGCTCCAAAAATTTGTACCGAGTGGGAAGCTGGCTTCAGAGAGGGTTGGGCCACAGGGATAGGCCCACTGTTTTCTTTGTATTTCCACATATGGCACCTCCAACTCTTAAAGATAGGAAAGGGGTTGGATTAGCTTTGAAGGCACCCAGTGAATATTTGTTGCCTGTGATCACATGTGCACTTGTGATACAACTCTTGGAAAAATAACTTCAGACTGGTATGTGTGTGTTTGTGCGTGTATATATACATACCTTCTTCATTTTTGCCAAATCATATGAAAGTGAGCTGTAGACTTGTGAGGCTTCGTGCCTAAATAATTTACCACACATCTCAGAACAAGAACAAATCTCTGTGTAACCACAACACCATCATGACACCTAAGAAAAACATTAATTCATTTAACATGATCATTCTAATGGAATCCACACTCAAGCAGCCCTGTTTGTCCCCCAAATCTCAGTTATCGCTATTTTATTTGTTTAACTTGGGAACCAGTCAAGGTTTATGAATTGCCTTTTGGTATGGTTAGCTCTGGGCTGTAACTTTATTGGAGGTTTTTTTGGTGTGTGAAAGTGGGAAGTTTTCTTTCTCATTCATTATGGACACCTGGGGTCTGTTGGGTTTTGGTTTGCTCCAGTACATTTCTTTTCCCCAGAACCAAGGTAAGGTAAAATTCTCTTCTGAATATTTGTGTAGGTACAGCTATTTCCCTTTGTCTGTAAATCTTTTATGGCTGCATACTTCCTCTTGAGTGACTTTTCTCCAATTCCTTTCTCCCTTGGGAAGTCATGAGGGGACACAGGGAATCTTGAAAATTCTTTGCTTTAAAGTTCTTCTTTTCCCTCACCCTGAATGAATGTCTGCCTAGCATTGGAGAGTGGGTATGCTTCTGTCATAACCTTCCAAAGTCTGGCAAATGCAGTGGTGTTCAGCTTCACTGTCTACCAATAACTTTATTACTATAGGTGGGCTGTTGGAATGTTTTGAAAGCTTGCAATAATCTTGACGTTACTTGTTACCAGGTTTTTAAAAAAACTGGAGGCATCTGACTGAGCTTGGTGGATTATTTTGCAGTTTAACTTCTAGTATGTATTTTTCCTTTCAAGATTTATTTTCACTTTTTTCCTCTTTGCTGCTGCTCCCCCCCTGCCGCCCCCTCTCCCACTACTAACTGATCCCTAGTTCTGCTAACTTCAAATGTACTTTTTTCTAAATGCCATCATTTCTTGCTGGTGCTTCTCAGACTTGAAAAGATTCAGATCATTTGGGGATCTTGTTGTACTGAAGTGGGGCCTTCTCTTCTGAATTTCTAACAAACTCTTCTTACCCTCTGCCCTTTCAGGACCTTCCTCTGGCCTTGAATACCAAGTAAATAAATGCTAGGTGCTCTGTTGAATCCATGGACTACACTGTGAAATCATCTGCTTTAATTGTATATAACATTCCCTTCCCCCAAAGCACTTATTATATGGTAATTAAAAAAATATGTTTTCCCTGTTTATTTATCTTTGCATTTCTAGTACATAGCAGTGTGTTCAGCAGATAGTAGCTACTATATAGATGTTTGAATGAATGTATGTATTTGTGGTGCTGGGGTGAGGATCTTTGATGAGGACTGTCTACACCAGCTTACCTAGGCTTGGAGAGGAATGATTAAATTTATTTTTAAAAATCAAGGTTCCTTGAAAAATACAGATGCTTCCATTTGGCTGTACCTCAGTTCTAATGAGTTGGAATTAGACTTTTCTAGAGTAGGGCCCAGGCATCACTCACAGGTCTTCACAGGCAATTCTGATGTTCACTCTGGACTGAGAGCCATTGGCCCATGTGATTTACAGATATAAAATGGAGCCCAGTAGACCTTTCTGGATTGAAAATCAGGGAGCCAGCCTGATTTTTCTCCCTATTGCATGTTTATGCTTTTCCCACATTTGCAAAGACAAGTAGGGGTGGGTAGGGGGATAATTTCCATAATGAACGAAGGGAAAATGCAACATGATCTGGAAACATGTCTCTGGGTATAAGGTAAATTCCGCTGATGGAATAAAAGTAGCTACTGTATTGAGAACCCTAAAGTGGTGTAACTATTATTCTGTTACTGATTTGCTCATTTATATTTCTTTTTAAAAATATTTTATTTTTAAAAAATAATCTCTACACGCAATATGGGGCTCGAACTCATGACCCCAAAACAAGAGTTGCGTGTTCTACTGACTGAGCCAGTTGGGCACCCCTCATTTATATTTCTTGAGCATTTTTTAGAACTGTGTGCCAGGTACCATTCTGGAATGCTGAGTACTGTTCTAGGTGGTGATTATAATATATATAATTACTGGATACCTGTTAAATTCATAAATTCTTTTAATCTCTTTTACATTGTTGATTTTGATTCTTTCAGGTTCTTCAGATTGATCCTGAAGTGACAGATGAAGAAATAAAAAAGAGGTTTCGACAGGTATAGTACTGTTCCCCTGTAATAGATGGAGTTTGATTTGGGAGTACAGTAAGCACATGATTCTCTTAGGTCTTCTATTATGACTTATGGGCCAAAATTTAACTTTTTTTAAAGATTTATTTATTATAGAAAGAGAGCATGCATGTGTACGGGTGGCAGGGGGTGGCATGGAAGGGCAAAGGGAGAGGGAGAGAGACTCTCAAGCAGACTCCCCACTGAGTAGGGAGCCCGACACGAAGCTTGATCTCACAACCCTGAGTTCATGCCCTGAGCCGAAACAGAGTTGGACGCTTAACTGACTGAGCCACCCAGGTATCCCTTAGCTTTTCTTTTTTTACCCTTAAGGCTGTGTAACTCTTAAAAAAGAAAAACAAAACACACCTCATAGTGACAAAATTCGTACATAACTTAAAGACCACGGCTTGCCTCTGACACTCACACTGCCGGCAGCGGCAGATTTGTTGGTAGGCGGTAAAGCCTGGCGACAGCTTCGTTCAGAGACTTGGGAAGGTTACAGCAGGAGCGTGCCCACTCTCAAACCGAGGCATTTGGTTGGGAGTGAGGGCGCAGAATAGAACAAATTTGACTTCTGAATAGAATGAATTTTATATCCAAATGAATCTTTCCAGCCCCTTAATCAGGAGAAATACAATATAGAACAGTAGAACTTAATTCTCTGCCTTCCCAGGGAGAATATGTTAAATGATTTGTAACAGGTTTTTTTTTTTTTCCTTTTTTTTTTTTTTAAGATTTTATTTACTTATTTTTAGAGAGAGAACACATGCAAGCAGGCTGAGGGAGGGAGGAGCAGAGGGGGTAGGAGAGGGAGAGGAAGGATTCTCAAGCAGACTTCCCCCTGAGCACAAACCCTGACTCAGGGCTCTATCTCAAGACCCTGGGACCTGAGCTGAAACTGAGAGTCAGATGCTGAGCCACCCAGATGCCCTTCATAACAGTTTTTAAATTGTTTAAGATCTCCTTCCTCAGTTATTTTATCTTTTGCAAACTTAAATAAGTACCCAAGAGATACCTGGTTTCATACAGAGTGCTTTCTTCCCAATCTGATGTTTCATAACCTGAGCTTACAAAATTTTATAGTAGCCTTTTAAAAAATGCTTCCAATTTTGATAACTGAGTAATCTCCAGCCTTTTCTTCCAGGAGTTAAATAATCATACTCCTTGTAACCTGTCTTTACTAACTGGATTTTCTGTATATTTCAGGTCATTTTTCTTTTTTTTAAACTTCACCCAACTTTTTTATATCTCTCATGTTCTTCATATTTTAAGAGGACCTAACCAGTGCTAAATATAATTCTCAGTTCCTGCAGGACATACTTTTTTTTTTTTTTTTAAAGATTTTATTTATTTATTTGACAGAGAGAGATCACAAGCCAGCAGAGAGGCAGGCAGAGAGAGAAGGGGAAGCAGGCTCCCTGCTGAGCAGAGAGCTCGATGTGGGGCTCGATCCCAGGACCCTGGGATCATGACCTGAGCGGCTTAATCCACTGAGCCACCCAGCGCCCAGGACATATTTGTTAATATCCAGTGTTGTGCCTGCTTCTTTGATACTGTAATTGCCCCCACTTTGCTGATTCATAATCATCTTCTGGTCTACTATTAAGTCAAGATGTTTTTTATCTTTGCCTACCCAGGCATTTCCCGTTATATAATTTCCTAGCCTTTTTTTTTTTTTTTTTTTAATTTATTTATTTATTTATTTATTTGACAGACAGAAATCACAAGTAGGCAGAGAGGCAGGCAGAGAGAGAGGAAGAGAAGCAGGCTCCCACTGAGCAGAGAGCCCGATGTGGGGCTCGATCCCAGGGCCCTGGGATCACAACCCGAGCCGAAGGCAGAGGCTTTAACCCACTGAGCCACCCAGGTGCCCCATAATTTCCTAGCTTTTTATAGAGTTCTACTCTGCATCTATATTCAGCTTTTCTTCTTTTTCTCTAAAATTTCAAGCTTCCTATTGTAATGCATTAGCAGTCTTTCCCAATTTAATATAAACAAGCATTCAGATCCATAGTTAGAACAACTATTTATGTAGCTGTACAAAGAACTCAATAAGAGTTCTTTAGTCATTAATATGGTCTAATAGTTAAGAGTGTGAGCCTTCGGGGCACCTGGGTGGCTCAATCAATTAAGCATCTGACTCTTGGTTTTGGTTCAGGTCATGATCTCAGGGTTGTGAGTTGGAGTCCCACATCAGTCTCTGTGCTTAGCGGGTGGTCTGCTTCTCTCCTTTTCCCTCACCCCGCTCATGCATACATGTGTGCGCTCACGCTTTCTTTCTCTCAAAGAAAGAAAAAAAAGTGTGGGCCCTACACCTGTTTGACTTGAGTTCCAGTCTTGGTCATACCCTTTATAAGCAGTTTGAACAAGTTACTTTCAACCTTTCTGTGCCTGTTACCACATTTGTAAAATGCACATAATGATGATAATTATATGCTAACTGTTGTCAGTGTGTGTTAGACAGTATGTTAAGTTTCTTACTTGTATTTCATCCTTAAGAACCCAGTAAGACAGAGGTACCTGGTATTTTCCTGTTTACAGAGAAGGAAACTGGCACAGAGATAGGCTAGGAGAACTGCTCAAGGTCTTAGAGCCGGAAGGTGACTGAAGTTGGAATTAGAGCTCAGGATTCTGGCTCTCCAGTAATGCTGGATTTAGCATTTGATTCCCACTTGTATCATTCCCCCAACACAGTTCCACTGTTCCAACTAGTTGATTTAGGTCTGTCAATGATAGTAGGTCAGTGATTCTTAATCCTGGCTGTCTGAAAATAATACCTTGGAGATTTTTGCTTTTTATTTTAAAAAAAATAAATATTTTTTATTATAAAAAACTTAAATTACATTTTAAAAAGGAAGAGTAGAACAGTGAACACCCATATACTCATTATCTGTGTGTAACGGTTTACCTCATTAACTCTATGTTTTTGGCTGAATTGTCGTAAGTTACAGACAGCACACTACTTTACCCCAAATACGTCATCATGTGTCCCCCCAAGAAAAAAAAAGGGCATTTCCTTGCATTTCTTACTTGTCATACCTAGCAAAATTAACACTCCAGTAGAGGTCTAGAAAGTACAGTTGCCAGAGACTCATCAGAGGTTCTGAGGGTAGAAAGTAGACCTATATTTTTAAAAAGCTTTATAGGGTTGTGGGTGCCTGGGTGGCTCAGTCATTTGGGCATCCGACTCTTGATTTCTGCTTGGGTCATGATCTCAGGGTCGTGGGATCAGGCCGAGTTGGGTTCCACACTCAGCAGGGAGCCTGTATATCCCGCTCCTCCTGCTCCCTGCTCCTGTGCGTGCTCGCGCGCTCTCTCAAATAAATAAATAAATAAAATCTTAAGGAAAAAAGGCTTTACAAGGTTGGAGTGTAGCCAGAACTAAGAACCACTACTTTTTTTTTTCCCCAAAGATTTTATTTTATTTCCAGTTAATATACAGCGTATATTAATTTCAGGTACAATATAGTGATTCAGCGCTTTCACGCATCACCTGGTACTCATTGCAGTGCACTCCTTAGTCCCCATCTCCTGTTTACTGTACTCACCCCCCCCCCAACAAGAGAACCATCACTTAAAATTACAAGTTCTTTTAGGAAAGAGATGTCTCATATGTGCTTTAGCTTCTTCAGTGCTTGGTTTAAGGGATGTAATAGGAACCGGGTGCTTCTCAGTTTCTCTTCTGCAACCTCATGGCGTCCTGCTGATGTGAGACTTTTATTTGTTCTTAAGTTTGTGATTAAAACCCTACATGTCTCTCAGCTGTGCATTGACCTTCTGGTGAATTTTAAGGACCAGTATTTCTGCACATTTTATGATATTTATTAATTTGTTGAAAAAGCTTCCAGCTGACCATGTTTTTTTCCATAACACCTTAGAGCTTTTGGTACAGTGCAGGTGAAGAGTGACTAAATGTTCCTCTCGTTGACAAACCTACCTTTCCTCTTATTTTAGTTATCCATATTGGTGCACCCTGACAAAAACCAAGACGATGCTGACAGAGCACAAAAGGCTTTTGAAGGTATTTGTAAATTTACCTGCTTCCAAGAACTGTTTTATCAATGCTAGGGACTAACTGTTCCTTGTCCTGGATCAAGAAAGGAATGTTACAGTTTTGTCTTCTGGTCATGAAGAAGCTGTGGTTTTCAGTAGAACAATTGTTCCAAAGCAGAATGTTGCTGTTTAAGAAATAGATCTTAACTTTGCTTTGTTAAAACTTTTACGTGTCAAGACTGTTACTACGTAGGATCATTTTTCTTTTTTGAACATAAAAAAAATAACTGGCAGTATTTTACCACTGAATTAAATCTAGATGTGGTGTATTTAGTCTTGAGGGTATATTTAATTTTTTCCAAGGCTCGCAAGGAAAGTCATTGCTATAGTTGTATGTTTTTTAAATTAGTTTAACGACAATAAATAATGTAACAAAGTAGGGGATGCTTTTAGATGACACAAGTCCATTTACACTGCCTGAGTATAGTTCAGACTTTCAGAGGGTGTTTGCAGAAACAGTTAATTTCAATGTTTTGCATTAGCTGTGGACAAAGCTTACAAGTTGCTACTGGATCAGGAACAAAAGAAGAGGGCCCTGGATGTAATTCAGGCAGGAAAAGAATACGTGGAACACACTGTAAGTATTTATAGTGCTGCCGTGTTTACAGGAAGTATTAGCAAGCCTTGGGCACCTTGCAGGAGGGTAAATGTTAACATAGCAATACCTACTGGTGTAACTTGTGACCTCTTATCTGGTCTCCGAAAGTTTGCTGTGGTGCTCATAAATAGGGCATGCGCTAGAGCTCAGGATGTGGAGTGGCTAGGAGGCTGCCCTTCCCTCTTTCCTTGCCAGCCCAGGCTGCACAGAGAGGTCCTCTCTTGCCCTCTCCTCATAGTGTTGTCACATTCCCAGTTCTGAGAGTGGAAGAGTGGAGCAGCCATGATGAAGATTTTTATTCTTGTCTCTGTGAAGGGGTTGGAACGTGGGCTTGAGAAAGATTGGCAAGGGGTCGTGAGTAAATTTTTTTAAAAATAGGAGGAGGTGTGTATCTGTATTAATAATAGGGTTTGGGAAGGATTCAACTAAAATAAGTTCAGTTATAGTTGATTTTATTTTTTTGCATTGCCTAAATCTCCCTAGTGGTGGGAAGTGTTAAGATGGCTTACGTGAGGTAAGAAAGGTCTTTGTTTTAATTTTTTACTTGCTGGGCAAGAATTGTGAGCCCATTTGTAAGAGCTGTTTCAATTGGGAGTGAATATGAATGTGACCTTTTCTTTGAAGCGCTTTGGAATCGGAAACAGAACTGTATAACCAATAATAATAATAATGAGTCCAGTTTAGATGAAGAAAATGAGTAAAAGGAGGAGAAAGATGGCCATAACTAGGCCTTGTTGGTCATACGTTGGAAGTGGTACCTATAGGCCAGATTTTGGTAGAAATCAGAAAAGGACCTGACAAATTCTCCTTAAATTCCTGTGGTAGTTACTTTTTCTCTATATTTTGCCTATAAAGGAGCCATCCTCAGGCTTTTTGGCCACAAGGTGGCAGTAGGGTTGTTCTGAGCTTGGAAGGCGCTGGCTTTTCGCTGGAGCAGTAGTGTATGGTTATTAGAGTAATGACATTCTTGTGTGAAGGAGTATATGTAATTTGTTTTTTAGATCTCAGTGGTGGCCAACGCAATAAAAAAAATCAGTTAATATGATTGGTTTAAGGGGATTTCACAGTGAAAATTATCAATAATGCAGTTGTTGAAATACCAGAGAACAGTTAAGCTTAATGCCACAAATTTGGTAGCTTGTTCTAAAACTTGACAAATACATTTTCGTTGCTATAAACACTTAACTACCGGCCGCGAAAGAGAGTTGGGTAATCTGTTCAATGTATCCAAGGCTCTTTGGCTCTGGCCTAGGATCTGATGAGTTGGGGGCAAGTTCACTGCTGGTCCCCTTCCATCCTTCCTGGTGGATTGGATTTTAGATGAGGTTTAGAGGAAGGACCCCTGGTTTGTAGTTCTCCTTTGATTGCATTGTTGTTGTGGAGGGGGAGGGGCAGGGGCTCATTTTATTTCCACGTAAACCTTTGGTCATGTCTGTACCTACAGAAGGTGCATGTGCCATTTGTGTGCAGCTCAATGGATAGTCTCAATTTTTTGATGAAAAACATTCTTTTTAGGTGAAAGAGAGAAAAAAGCAATTAAAGAAGGAAGGAAAACCTACAAATGTGGAGGAAGACGACCCTGAGCTGGTGAGTGAGATTTGGGAAAAGCCACGCTGTCCCCTGAGCTTGAGCCCACCGATTGCTGGGTTCAAGAGAGGGAAGCCTAAGGAGTGACGCATACGTGCTGGAAACATTTTGTTTTAACTTAAAATATTTAAATGTATGTCCCTGCACTTATTTTTAAGCCTCGCCCTTTTTTTTGTCATAGGGCCATGGCCTTTTCCTTCAGTGTGTGTCTGCTGATTGGCGTTTGCCATTGACTTTATTTTGTAAAACACACACAGCATCAGCCATAGTTTGTACTTCTAATGCTTTTTTGCAGTACGTTGAAACTTAGGTATTTGCGAAACAAAACTTAGGTATTTGTGAAGCAAAACCCAAGAGCAAAATCCTAGTCATTGGTTGTTTTGTTTTGGTTTTGCATAGAGGAACAATTGCTTCATTGCTTTGCTGGGTAAGGAGGCTGCGGCAAGCTAAGGCCTTCGGAAGTGCAAGCCCACCCGGATGATTTGTTTTCCAGTCTTTATTGGATGTCTCAGCCTGTACCTAATTTCACAGCAGTATTTTAATGTATTTTTTTATGATTTTTTTTTAAAGATTTTATTTATTTATTAGAGAGCACGTGCACAAGCAGGAGAGCAGCAGGAAAGAGGGAGAAGCAGGCTCCCTGCTGAACAAGGAACCCGATGCGGGACTCAATCCCAGGACCCTGAGATCATGACCTGAGCTGAAGGCAGACACTTAACCGACTGAGCCACCCAGGCATCCCCAACGCCAGTATTTTTAGGGACTTAACGTTTATTGAATCTTTCTAAAGCATTCCACTTAGTTTTAAAAGGAAACCAGCATTTATTTGTATAACCATATTCATCAATTTCTGTGATATTTAAATCTCATAGTAGTTGTTGGCAGCTGGCACAGAGCACTTTGGGAGCAACCACAGGTGACTCTAACCAGCTAGTGAACGGCTTTCCACCAGCCATGAGTGCTCACTGTGCTCCAGGTGATAATTTACAGAGAAATGGAGAACATTGCTTCATCCATTGGGTTTTTTGTTTTTTTTTTTTTAAGATTTTAATTTATTTACTTGATGGACAGAGATCACAAATAGGCAGAGAGGCGGACAGAGAGGGCAGGGGGAAGCGGGTTCTCTGCCAAGCAGAGAGCCTGATGCGGGGCTCGATCCCAAGATCCTAAGATGATGACCTGAGCTGGAGGCAGAGGCTTAACCCGCTGAGCCACCCAGGCACCCCTACTTACCTTGGTTTTAAAGATTTATACGAGAGAAGCTGTCTTGCTAGGGAAGCTTGCCTACAACTCCTTGCTTCAGTGATTTTGCTGACAGTGTTTGGCCCCGTCTTCTGTGTGGTAACCCTGCTTATGAACTGTGAGGTCACCTTTTGCACTAGCCACCTGTTTTGAATTTACTCTGTCCCAGTATTTCAGTTTTTTCTCCTCAGTCTTATTTTCTCTTCCCTTTCCTTTAATGATCTCTGGTCTTTTTTGAAGACCCTCTTATAAATACTCCTTGGTCCTCCTGAGTTTTTAAGAACCCTAACTTTTTTAAGTTGTCTTTTTTTCCCCTCCCCCAATTATAAAGGAACACATGCTAATGATAGAACATTTGGAAAAAGCAGAAGAATATAAAGAATTCAGTCATCAGTAACCATCCGTCCAAGAGAGTTTGGAGCCTTTAAAGATATTGAAATACTCTTACAGATGCCTTCACTCCTTTGATGTTTGTCCTTATTAGGGACTGGGGTTTGTCAGTGTTGCTTTTATTGAGCAGTGGCTGGCAGATAACAGTATTAAAAAGAAGTGACAGGGGCGCCTGGGTGGCTCAGTGGGTTAAAGCCTCTGCCTTCGGCTCAGGTCATGATCTCAGGGTCCTGGGATCGAGCCCCGCATCGGGATCTCTGCTCAGCAGGGAGCCTGCTTCCTCCTCTCTCTCTCTGCCTGCCTCTCTGCCTCCTTGTGATCTCTCTCTCTCTGTCAAATAAATAAAAATAAAATCTTAAAAAGAAGTGACAAATTCTGGGGCTCCTTTACTTCCCTTTCTCTCCATATATTACTCTTTTTTTTTTTTTTTAAGATTTTATTTATTTATTTGACAGATAGAGATCACAAGTAGGCTGAGAGGCAGGCAGAGAGAGAGAGGAGGAGGAAGCAGGCTCCCTGCTGAGCAGAGAGCCTGATGCGGGGCTCCATCCCAGGACCCTGGGATCATGATCTGAGCCGAAGGCAGAGGCTTTAACCCACTGAGCCACCCAGGCACCCCTGTATATTACTCTTTGCTCCAGTGTCTCTGCTTTTGGGATTCAGGCTCTATGAAATCTGCATGATGGATTAGTTTCTATTTTTCTTTGTATTTTGGGGGGAAAAAGTTTTAAAGATAGTTCTGTTTTCTGTCTTACATTGTGTGATTTTTTTCCCCATCTGCGCATTACTTAGAGTATAAGTTCGACTGCATACAACTGAGACCCAAAATGATGGTGGTTTGAACAAGACAGTGATTTGTTTTCTGTCCTGTGTAATATAGTCTTTGGGAAGATGGCCGCTGCTATGGCAGCACTGGACCACGTGTCATCCAAGTACTCATTCTCCTCTCTGTGGCTCTGCCAACAAGATGCTGCCCCCTCCTCACAGTCCAGAATGTGTCATCACCTCACCCATGTGCCAAACAGCAGAATAGAGGAAGGGGACAAGGAAGGATACATGTACTCCCTCTAAGATAATTCTAGGAAATTGCTGCATCACTTCTCTTTATGTCCCATTGGCTAAAACCTAAGTTACATGGCCACACCTAGTTGAAAGGAAGCCTAGGAAATATGGGCTTCTATGTTGGGTGACCAGGTACCTAAAGATAAGGGATTTTACATGGAAGGAGAACAGATGATGGCGGGTAGGGGACACATAACTAATAGCCCTGACAGTTCCACTGTAGTCAGTAACTGACTCCTGAAATGGGTCTGCTTGGTAGCAACTTCTAGTACCTGGCTGGGAGCCTGGCACAGAGTAATTTATAAGATATTTGTAAAAAGAAAGAATGAAAGTTATTTTTTCGAGGTTCTTTGGAAGAAAGGGTCCTCCCACATGGTTGTGATAAGCAGGTAGAAGTTTTTTTCTCTGGTGTTTTACACCAGAACAAGTTTCTTGCGTATCATCCTCATGGTGAAAGTGGAAAGATCTCCTGGGCGATTATGTTATTTATCTCCCAGGAGGGAGCATCATTAAGTAGTTCTCTCTGAAATCTTTCTTCCTTGCCGGTTCTGACATGCTTTTTGTCTGAGGCTCTGTCTAAAAGTGCTTGATTCAAGTTACTGGTAAAATACTGACTTTTATTTTCTTTTGTTCTTAATTTTCTTGTAGTTCAAACAAGCAGTATATAAACAGACCATGAAACTCTTTGCCGAGCTGGAAATTAAAAGGAAAGAGAGAGAAGCCAAAGAGATGCATGAAAGGTATGCATCAGACTATTTATTTAATCCATCTAAATACCTAGATTAACCAAAATTGGTCTTTGGGATTTTCTTAATGAAGGATTTTTCTAATCAAGGAATTATATAGTACATCATTTAAGAAACTGTGTAAAATAGTTATCTGAAACAGCCAAACTTTGGAATCCCTAGGGTAAGAAATTGTCTCTGACTTTTGGGATATATTGAATAGACCTGTCCTTAGGTAGTTTTTAATCAAGAGTGCTGTGTGTTTTCTTCCTGATTTCCAGGAGTTTATAGAGTTATTTATTTATTTTTTAAAGATTTTATTTGTTTATTTGACAGAGAGAGACAGTGAGAGAGGGCATACAAGCAGGGGAAGTGGGAGAGGGAGAAGCAGGCTCCCTACTGAGCAGGGAGCCCAATGTGGGGCTCAGTCCCAGGACCCTGGTATCATGACCTGAGCCAAAGGCAGACGCTTAACAACTGAGCCACCCAGGCGCCCCATACGCAGTTGCTGAGGCCAGAACCTTTTGTGTGACTAGTGGCTGCAGCTTTGGCAAGTCTGTAGTATTTACTGTGTAGTGTAATCACTTACAGTATATTTATTGTCCCCAAGTATGATTTCCCTTGCTTATCAGAAATCTTGAGGTTAATTTGATTTATGTATTTTGTATTGTTGATTAGTGTTTGGCAGTAACCATGTTTTGCTAGTTGAGGTTGTGTGAAATGTCCTTGTTTTGGGTTTGGGTCTTGTCCAGAGATCCTCTTGATTAAGAACCTCTGCTGTTGTTACGGTCATTCTACTGAAGTAGGCCGGCCTGGGTTCTCGAGACGGCTTTCTCCCAGACCAAACCCCGAACCTATAGATAGAGCCCATAACCTACGATTGGTTTTGGCTAGGCCTTGGCAACACGTCTGTCCGTGTAACAAGGGTATTTATATCCTGCCCTGTAGCCCTGCCTGTGGTCCCATCTGTGTGCTTTAGATGAAACATTTGTTTTTTTTTTTTTGGGTTTTTTTTTTTTTTTTTTTTAAAGATTTTATTTATTTATTTGACAGACAGAGATCACAAGCAGGCAGAGAGGCAGGCAGAGAGAGAGGAGGACGCAGGCTCCCTGCTGAGCAGAGAGCCCGATGCGGGCCTCGATCCCAAGACCCTTGAGATCATGACCTGAGCCGAAGGCAGCGGCTTAACCCACTGAGCCACCCAGGTGCCCCTAGATGAAACATTTGTGAAAAGGCTCTGAGCCTTCTCCAGACAGTCATTTTTAGAGAACCCTAGGGAATTGATTTACTTTATATACTTGCTTCTGTGGGGAGATTGCTTAACCTGTATGGTTAAGAGGATCTCTAAGTATCACATAAATACTCTGGTCTGGTTCTTCTTAGGAAGCGACAAAGGGAAGAAGAGATTGAAGCTCAAGAAAAAGCCAAACGAGAAAGGGAGTGGCAGAAAAACTTTGAGGTAAGTTTCCAGGGTGGTTAGGGATTCTCATTCCAGACTAAGAAAACTTCCCAGCATCGAGACTTGGTTCCTGGGGCACTGCCGGGACTGACTGGGGCAGAGGAACAGAGAAAGAGGAGCAGGAGTTTTGGAGAACGAGTCCCAGCTCAGCTGCCTGTGCGCTCTCTGGCCTTGGCAAGGGCAGGGAGGGTCCCTGAACAGCATCTTAGAGATTATGGAATGCACAGCTGCCAAGTGGGCTCGAGAAAAATGCTTTGCCCGTTTAGATTAGGCAGTGGTCACGGAGTGGTGCCCTCCTTAAGAGGTCTGTTAGCAGGAACTCGAGGTTCTTGTGGCCCTGATATCCCGGCTTTTGAACTTGACTCCTCTTTAACACCCTGGTTACATTTTTCAGGTACGCAGCCAATTTCCTGAATTGAGCCATGTTCGGTGTCTTTTCTTCTGTAACATTCAGGTCTCAGGCTAGGGACTGGTTAACCAGAGTGGATGACTGTTTTCTGTCCCCCTGCTTGTATGCAGGGAGAGAGAAGGAGTAGGTCTCCTGATAAGCCGGGAGAAACCCTAGTGGCCCTCTCAGTGTAACTGGCTGGTCACTGTGCTGGCGTTGAGCCTCCGTCCAAGGTTTGTGGGGCCGAAGGCAGGTGCAGTGGGAAGAGCGGCCATGCTGCTGGCTATGCATATGACCTTGAGAAAGTGATCTGACCTCTGAGCCGCAGGGTTGTCATTTGTGAAATAGTAGCAGCTGCTGACTCTCCAGCCCTGAGGTCCCCAGCAGATGTTGTGATGATGTTGTCCTCTTCTTCCAGCTCACAGCTGGTCCTGCTTGCTGTGGGTGGGATGCTACTTTTTGTGGGCCTGTGGAAGTGGGAGGAAAGTTCTGCTCTGTTTTACTCTTGGTTTATTCCAGCGGGCTGAGCCGGGCTGGGCTCTGGGGATGGCGAGCAGGTCCAGGCCCATCTTCTTGTTCACTAGTTCCCTCATCCCAAACCTCTTTTGTGCTCAGGAAAGTCGAGATGGTCGTGTGGACAGCTGGCGAAACTTCCAAGCAAATACAAAGGGGAAGAAAGAGAAGAAAAATCGGACCTTCCTGAGACCACCGAAAGTAAAAATGGAGCAGCGTGAGTGACCAGCTGGGCTCACCACCACGGAACCTTCCCCCAGCGTCTCCCCTCCTGCTTTGAAGGACTCATTCTTTCCTCCCATTGCCACCCCAACATAGAGTAGTAGTTGCTTTTCGTCCATTTTGTTTTCAATACAATTTAATATCAATCAGAGTAATTCTTTTGTACATTGAAATGAGGGGCTCAGTTAAAAACGAAACCTTCCCCCACCCCCTACCCCTAGATCAACCAGGATTGGAAGGTGCCGCTGTGAGTGTTACCTTCTCTTCCCACAGCCTGTAACTTAATGTTTTGTACTTCACTGAATTGTGATGGTTAGAAACTTCGTGTATAGTTTGTGGAAATTATCCAATTAAACATATTGCTTAAAATGGTGTTGCCGTGACTTCAGAGACAAGCCTGGGCCCACCTTAGGAACCCCCTTCGCTTCAGTTGCTTGCTTCCAAGCGTGGCATCCTTTGAAGCCCCAGATCATACCGGGAAGGCAGCGGGCACCCAGGGCAGCCGCTCAGTGCCCCGACCTCTCTCGGTGTTCGGCATGTGCTCTCCCTTCTAACTGACCATTCTGTGTGGCATGAGGCTCTGAGCCACCCAAACCTGTTCACTTTCCAAAGAGCTAGCCATCTCCCACCCAGTATCGTTGTGTCCTATCCTGTCTGCATTCGTTAGCGGTCATATTCTGTACATGGAATAAATTTTTATACCCTAACCATCGATGTACTCTTCCTTAGGTACTACTCCAAGGGTGGGGCCCTTGGCCCGACTCTGAAATGCTCTGGAGTTCCACAGAGCTGCTCCTCACTGCTCCCTGCCACTTAATGGCTGTGCCTTAGTTTCTTCATCTACAAAATGGGAATATAGGTCAGTGTGGCAGCTTTCAGGGAGGGTCAGCGATGGCATATATAAGTTTGCCCTCGTGGTGCTGAGAGGGTGTTACTAATACACTGTTATGTGTAAAATGAGTTTGCTGATTATGTCAAGAATTAAGTGAAGTAATATATGAAAACGCCCAGCTTGTAGTGTATTCTCAAACATCCTGCTGGCTGTGAGACAGAATCCGCTCCTCCATACAAGGTGGAAAACAGAAGGACGACACCTAAACTGTGAAGACAGGAGAAGCTGGGTGACTTGACTCCATGTGACGCCATGTTTTGTAGATAAGCAAAGAGGTACAGTAATCACGAAGGCAAACCGTCTTGTATCGAGACACTGCACATTTGACTTGCTTCTCTGTGGGAGGGGACAGAAGCTGGGGTGTCTTGCTGTCCTTCCGAGTGCAGCTAAGCAGTCGACACCACAGATGAACCTGAGCACAGAGTGGGGGTGTGGCTCTAGCTGGAAGCGGACAGAGGTAGAGAGGGGCCCATACTCTGTCACCCTGCCGAGGGACACAAGTCCAGAGGGAATGCAGACTCGTGTGCAGGGAGTAGCAGTGTCCTCTTGCAGCCAGGCCAAATGCAGCCGCCTCACTCCCGGATGTGTGTGGACACACCCGTCCCTTCCTCAGGGGTTCTGTGGTTGTCCTGCTTCAACTGTTTTCACAAGCTTCCGAGGGCTGGGCCTGGGCTTTGCCCCCAGGAAGCTTGTGCCAGCAATCAGTGGTGGGTGTCCTTGCATTCTACAGATAGGCTGGCGTAGAAATAAAATGTGAACTCCAAGGGGCCCTGCTGCCTGCCTCAGACTGCTGGGGCCCATGGGTGAGGGGGCAAGTGCAGAGATCATGAGAGGCACATGTGTCCACTGTTCCGAGGAGGGGGCCCTTGGTCCTGTTCTTACCAGCCAAGGCATGTTTCCTGGAGGAAGTGACATTTCTTTTTTTTAAGGTTTTATTTATTAGAATGAGCAGGGGGAAAGGAAGCAGACTCCACTTGAGCAGGGAGCCCAATGTGGGACTCCATCCCAGGACCCTGGATCATGACCTGAGCCCAAGGCAGATGCAACCGACTGAGCCACCCAGGTGCCCCGGGAAGTGACAGGGGAAGTGACATGTCCGATGCATCCATTAGGAATGTTTCCAGCTGAATGGAATAATTAGCATAAACAAGTAGGGGAGTATTTTGCTCACGAAGTCTGGTGGCAGGCAGTTCCCGGTTTCGGTCGCAGGCCCCACAGTGCTACCAAGGAACCAGTCTCTTCTGTGCTTCCCCTCCATTCTCTCAGCAGGCCTGTCATTTTATCAGTGCCTAATCTCATAGAAGGTTGTGGGAGTGCCACACCTCATCCCAACTGTGAGCAGAAGTCATCCAGGAATCAAAATTTCCCCCCAAACATGTCATTCTCTAGAAGATGAATCACATGGCTACCTCCAGCTGTAAATTTCAGAGAATGGCGAGGGAGAATGGGCAGGCTACAGACCAGGAGTTGCCCCTCAGGAGCGGGCGCCTGCTGTTCCCAGTGAAGTTTTGTTGGTGAGGAAGGAGGAAAGGGAGATGGACTGCCAGGGACTGCCAAGTGTCTGGCGCAGGTGGGCCGGGACTTGAGAAATGCTGTTTCAGGTGGAGGGAACAGTGTGCCAGCGGGGTCCGATGCTGTGCTTATGATGAAGTTCTAGAACCTAGGTGAGGTTCAGTGGGCTGAGGTTGGAGCCGATGACCAAGAAAGAATTCTTGAGACATCTTTGGTGCAAAATGGTGGTTTATTAAAGCACAGGGACAGGACCCGTGGGCAGGAATTGCTGCTGCCCGTTATCCCGAGGAGTGGCTGATTATATACACAGGAGTTGGGTAGGTGAGAACAAAGGGGGGTGATGTTAGTCTCTAAGGAATTTTAGAAGCAAGGTCTCCAGGACCTTGAGGGGCTAGCTATTGTTGGGAGAAAGGTTATTTATTACTAGTAGTAAAAATCTTCTTGTGAGACCCTTTAGATGTATATCAATGGGCCATATGCTTGGGAATGATTCTCGACACTATCTCGGAGATCTAAAGATAAAGTTTCACATTTCTCCTATCAAGTGTCCTTGTTAGTGAGATTTGGGTTTAGGAGAAATTTAACTTTATTTAGGACTTGAGGAACTGAGTTATTTGCTTCTGGAAATTGTGCTATTGATAAGGTAACTTCTTTGTTTGTAGATCTCTAGGACATTTGTAAACCAAGGGAGACTCCTGTCTTGTAGGATTGTGATTTCTGCAAGTTAACTATTTGTTTCTCGCTTATGGCAGTCAGGGGTGCCTGAGGAATGTCACACACATTACCGAGGGGAGCGGGTGGAGAGGGGGTGCAAGGTGCCAGCTTTTGCTTTGTCCTCAGCCAGCCTCCTGCTCCCTCATCACTTAGAAGTGTAGAAGCGGGCGGAAGTGAGGCCGGGGACCTCAGAAACTCCTGTGAAGGAATTTGGGTTTCAGCCATGACATCCTACATTCCCAAAGGCACTAAAGCCTCCCCATTTCCTTTCTGGCACACGGTAGCGGCAGACCCATTTGAAGATGGGCCGTGCTCCCGGCCCATTCCCATAAAACCGTTCAGTGTGATTGTTTCGGTGATGACCCGCCTGGGAGAGGGGTGTGCTTTGGGCAGTGAATTGAAACAGCAGGAGCCAAGATGTCTCCATCGCAGGACTGTGGCTGTGGCAGCTTCCCCAGACCCTTCATCTGTGAGCAGGTTAAGGGGCTATTCGGGAGAGAAAGGCTCACTGGAGGAGTGCCAGGGCCCAGAGAGAATGACAGGCTGGGGGAGCCACTTCTGTCCCTCCTGCGGTTTGCTGTGAATAATGGAGCGGAGAGCCACCCTGCCCCCTCACATCTCCCCCTGCTCGGACAACGGCTGCCTGTGGGACCACGGAGGTGAAACGGAAGGAGCCAGACAGGGAGGGTTAGAATGCCGGCATGGGGGGTGCAACTCAGCCTCAGCTTCCTCAGGGGTAGAGTGGGAATAGTATCTTTTTTTTTTTTTTAAGATTTTATTGTATTTATTTGACAGAGATCACAAGCAGGCAGAGAGAGAGAGAGAGAGAGAGAGAGGAGGAAGCAGGCTCTCCACTAAGCAGAGAGCCCGATGTGGGGCTCGATCCCCGGGATGCTGGGATCATGACCCCAGCTGAAGGCAGAGGCCTTAACCCACTGAGCCACCCAGGCGCCCTGGGAATAGTATCTTTAGAAAGAGGTGTGACCCCCTAAATCATCAGTCGTTGCCCCCCAAACCCTCCCAATCACCCAAACCCTCCCACCCCTCCCCACCCTACCCCACCCCAGGGGCTGTGGCTCTCAGCCAGGCCCCACCTTCAAGCCTCTCTCGCTTGGCTTGGCTTTGCTAGAGCCCAGGAGGAGGTAGGGGAAGGTAGGGGGAGGTAGGAGTAAGCGTGGGAGGCTGCGGATGAGTCCTGGCCTGCAGCAAGGGTGGAGAGGTGCAGAAGGGAAGCAGGATCCGCCCTTCTCCATTTCCTCCCTCTCCCTCCCCACGCCGCCCCCACCCATCCTAGCACCCCTTGCTGGAGGTCGTCCCTGCTTCTCCCCGTGAACTCGGGGAGCAGGGGGCTGTCTGACCCTGAGTGATGAGGCAGGAGCTCCGAAAAGGGCTTGGAGTCACCTCAGTCAGTATCTGCTCTTCCACTCAGTAGCTTCGCATATCCTCGCACATCATTTCTCCTCTCTGGGCTTTAGCTTCCTCCTCTTTGATAAAGTGAGGGTCAAAATACTTTCTCCATTCCCGTTCTACTACTACGAAGTCTGGTGAGTTTCTGTGTCTTATAAGAAGAACAAAGCTTGTAAATGGAGGCAACAGGCCCGCATTTGGTGCTGGAGGGACTGTAGCCTAGAAACTTCTCTGAGCCTCCGCTTCCCGCCCCGTTGCCCTGAGAGTTAAGGAGATCAGGGCAACCGGATGCGTGATGCCCAGAGGGCAGTCCTCCCTGCCCCTCCTCCAGTAGGACTGCCCCAGGGATCCGGAGCCAGAGCAGAGAATGGAGCACACCTGGGAAACTTGGTGAAAAGATAGGCTCTGGCCTCCCTGAAGATTCCCGCTAAGGATTCAGGGCTGGGGAGACGGACAGCTGGATCTCTGGGAGCTCCCTGTTCCCTGTTCCCTATGATTTCACGCACATGTGGAATATAAGAAACAACATAGGAACATAGCGGGGAAGAAAAGAGAGAGACTAACCGTAATACAGACCCTTAACGATAGAGAACACGCTGAGGGGGTGCTGGAGGGGAGGTGGGCGGGTGTGGGTGGTTGGATGGGTGAGGGGTTTTCGGGAGGTCACTCGTGATGAGCACTGGGTGTTGTTAAGTGATGAATCACTACACCTGAAACTCACATACACTGTTGACTAACCGGAATTTAAATAAAAACTTGGAAGAAAAAATAAATACAGAAGTAAAAAACAAAAAAACAAAAAACGGTCCGTCCACGTGAGGAAATGGATGAGTGGAGGGTGGAAACGTGGGTTCTGTCAGGGATGCCAATGGCCTGGCACTCTCCCTGTGCCTTGGTGGGGAGTAGGTGAGCATAGCTGGAAAGTGCCTTTGGGTGCCGGAAGGAAGTTCCTCCAAGCCGGCTCTGCAGGATGGGCCGTCCACCTTGGAATCATTGGGTGCTTGTTAAAAATTCGTTTCCTGGGCCCCATCACCAGCACCGCTGGATCAGAATCAATCTCTCTCTCTCTCTCTTTTTTTTAAGATTTATTTTTATTTTTTATTTTTTAATTATTTTATTTTTATTTTTTATTTTTTTTTAAAGATTTTATTTATTTATTTGACAGAGAGAGATCACAAGT